CCCCAAAACCCCAAAACCCCTACACTTATTATCGAATGTGAATTTTGAAAAACATTAATTTAAAACATAAACTATTTTAATATAATAATTTGAATTTAATGATATTGTCAAAGCGCAAAATAAAGCTATTAAAACTATGTTTGACTTCTACAGCATTAGAAAAAGGACTTTTGCTTACTTACTTAGCATTGTTTCCTGTGATGGTTTTCTTTGCATCTTATAATAATCCTTTGAACATAGAAAACTATGATATTAGGACTAACATCTTAAAATACTACGACCAAGATCAAATCATCAAAGCAAGGACGTATAATGATATTTACAGCTATCTAGATGAACTGCTGCATGAAAGGCTCTGGGTTAAAAACAAAAGTTCTCCTTATCAGCCAATAGGTACGCTTAGATTAGCTTAGTACAGAGTCTAAAGTGACTGTACTGAAAAAGAGATCAGAGAAGAATGCAGCACTATTGAGTGCTTTAAAAAGATGTACTCTCCCTCTTGCAATTAACTGTTTGTGGCGAATCAGACAGAGGCAAAAGAATTTTTTCCAAATAATAAATCAATTTGCTAATACAGAGAATGTGGCGAATACAATTACTCTAATGTTTAAATTAGAGACTTCAGTGGAAATTTTGGTACTTATGGAGGAGGAGGTTTCTCAATTGACTTCACCTATAATAAAACACAAAACAAAAATTAAATAAATGAATTGATAAAGAATTCTTGGCTTGACTTGAACACCAGAGCTGTTTGCTTGTCTTGGAGTGTACATAATGTCTGGAGTGACAGATATTTTATCACAACAGTATTTTTAGAAAATCCTGGTAACAGCATTTTTTCAGTATCTTTCAGAGTGCAAACAGCTTATATATATAAGAAAGATGACCCTGATTCATACTCAGATAAGGTTAGCGTGATAGTCATCTACACTTTGTTTTTGTTGAATACTCTACTCTTTGCTGGTAAAACAGTCCTTGAATTAGGTCTCTCGATAAATAGGTTTACGAACTTGATTGAAATTCTCAACCTGACTCTATGCTGCCTGGCAGTATCTGGAAGAATCGGAAGCATTGGAATAGTGGTAGATAATATTGAACTAGAGAATGCGTATGACAGTTTTTAAACTTTTTCGACTTAAGCCTCTTTACATCAGTTCGAGATTATTGCTTTAGGCACTGCCGCACTATTTTATCCTTTCAGAGCATATTAACTTTTCAGTCATTTTAATTTTTTCAAGCCAATGTGTATCTTCTTGAATACAATATTCAGAATGTTTCCAGGGATCTCAACTTTTTTTATTATTACAACTACTCTCTTTGCTTGCTGGGCTTAAGGATTTTATTTAATATTCTCGCCCTATCTATTCGAATTCAGAAACTACTTTGAATCTCTCCTTACTATATCTTTTAAAAGGTTTTACGAGAATGATTAGTTCGCTAAATTTACTTAAAACAGAGATTTCGCATATCTGGAAGTTGCTGGCCTCTTGATGAGCTGGACAACTACTTTAATTCTAATCATTTTCATTGCTATGGTTACAACCTTATATAAAAAAGCAACAGGCTTTGAAAAAGGCGCTGAAATAATGACTCTTGAAAAATAGCAAATTTTGAACGATATCAAGGACATAAAAGATAAAGTTAACCTGATTTACATCAAGAAATTAAAGACTTTCTCAGGGAATTCAAATTTATTTTTAGAGAATATGTAAATTCAAAAGGGTAGAGACGAATCAGAAGTCAGTATGCAAATGAAAAATAAAAAGATTGTAGTCTGGCTAATAAATAGATCAAGAAGAAGTATGAGAGCTGAAAGAGAATCGCTTTTCAAGAAGATTAATGAAGAGATAATTGAAGAATATGAGTTTCTATAAATGGTCAAAACCAGCGATCTAAATAGAAGAGAATCAGTAGCAGTATTCAAAGATCCCCGCAAGTCAAGCGCAAGTTTTGGGGGCAAAATGATTAGAGTAGAAAGTTCTGAAAACAAAAATGTATCAGCTGGAGGTGTGGGTGTTGGAGTATAATATCCAAACTATATTAATAGTCATAACCAGCCTCACTAAATTGAGTTCATTGACTTTGAAGATTTTAAACAGCTAAAGAACTTTTTAGATTCCTTCTTTAAGATAAAACCTGCTCTGATAACATCAGCCTCCTTTGACAAGTTTAGAATAGTCATTGAAAATTATGTAGAGCAAGAGCACTTACAATTTTAAAATAGTCCTGATCTAGAAGATATAATGATGAATAATGAGAGGAATGATTATGCTTATTAGAAATTGAAATAGTCAAGTGAAGAATCTAATAGGAAAAATGATAAAATATCTAAGCAATAAAAGCAACTAAGAAAACAACAGCTGCATCATGCTGAAGAAGTAATTGACTATCTTAAAGAGATAGGCAGTAAAGTACCAGTCATTATCTATTCTAACTACGAGGAGGATTAGCAAGGGTTTAAGAAGATAATGAAAATAAAGATGAAGTATCAAATGCTCTAAACCACTAATAAGATTGATGACCTTAAAAGATTCTGTATGATGTAATTACACGGAGGTAATTAAAACAACAATTAGAACTAAAAACTTTCATCAGCCCATAAATAGTCTATCTTTTAGCAATAAATATGACATGACTAAAAATCATTTCCTCTTAATTTCAACTGAATAATTTATTGTTAATTTCATAACTCAGTAAGAAGGTTTATCTCGCGGGGTTTTGGGGTTTTGGGG